CGGCTCTTGGAGCCCCCGGCCCCTACCTCGGCGATCTTGATGAACCTGCCCTTGCTGTTCTGCTTCACGTCCAGGTAAAACCGCTTGTTCTGGATGTCGAGGCGCTTGGACGCCAGCTCCTGGGTCTCCTGGTCCCTCTGGAAGTGCTGGAAGCCGCCTCCTCCGCCGCCTCCCCCGCTGCTGCCACCGCGCTCACTCCCGCTGTCTCCATCCGCCATCTTCAGCTCCACCATTCGCCTTCTGCCCCTCTCTCCTGCGTAGCTGCTTTCTGCGTGCACTCAGCCAGCGCGCGCCCCCTCCACGCTCACCGCGGGGGGAACTTCGGATAGCGTTCTGATTGGCCCAACCGCCCGCCACTCCCACACGTTCACACGGTAACCGCTTTCCCATTGGTTCGCCGATTTTGTCTTTCACGCCCACACGTGGAATCTCTCTTCAGCCATTGGTTCAGATCGAGGTTCCGTTTGCGTACTTCTGGGTTGCCCCTGGTTGTGAAATCTCCTTGTTTTTATGACATAATTTGTTTTAAATTAAGTTTTTAAAATGTTTTTGGCTTCAGCTGGTGAAATGTGTCGACAACCTGTTTTTTTTTTGTTTTTTTTACCATACAGTTCCGAATCTGGGGATATTTCAAGGTCGTGTTTTTATATGTGGAAAAATGTTGTGACGTACTTCTAGTGTAGTACGTTGCACATATTTTAATAATACTATCATGCCTGTTATTGCCAGCTATGAAACAATATTTAATAGCAATACTACAGTGTAAAATACTCCACTACAAGTAAAGGTCTCGCCAATATAAGAAGCAAATGTACACACTATGCAGAAAAGTCGCTCCTGTGAGTGTTATATCATTCTGTGTTATATTATTGGATAATCAATACCCATGAATGAATGTGTTAGTACATCTCACTGGTTCAGATGGAGCTAACTAAATACACTGTTAAATCTATAATAATGCATCAAGGTTTAGGCTATTTAAGGTCCACATTTTTTGTATGTAAAATCAGTAACCAGTAAGCTGTCAGTTGTCTTTGTTGCCCCTGGTTGTGAAATCTCCTTGTTTTTATGACATAATTTGTTTAAAAATATTATTTTTTAAATGTTTTTGGCTTCAGCTGGTTAAATGTGTCAACATAACCTGATTTTCTCCACACAGTTGTGGCGGAAATGAATCTGGGGCTATTTCAGGGTCATGTTTTTGATTGTGCAAAAATGTTGTGTCATACTTCTAGTATAGTACGTTGACCATATTTTAATAATACTATCATTCAGCAATACTACAGTGTAAAATACTCCACTACAAGTAAAAGGTCCGTCTTTTACATTAGAAGAACACAAGTACAAAATAAAATATCAAAAGTAAACGTACACACTAAGCAGAAAAGTGGCTCATGTGAGTGTTATATCATATATTATATGTTATATTATTGGATAATCAATGCCCATGCACGGATGTGTAAGTACATCTCACAGGTTGAGATGGAGCTAAATATAACTACACATACTCTTAAAATATAATAATGCATGATAGTTTATTTAAGTGCTTTTTATTGTATGTACTGTATATTGTATGTTATTTTGAAAAGTAACCAGTAACTGTACCTGTCAGATAAATAGTAAGTAAAAAGTCCTCTGAAATGGAATAGAGACGCAGCATAAAGTAGCATAAAATGGAAATACCAGAGTAGCACAGTACTTAAATAAATGTAGTTAGTTACTTCCCACAATTGGTTATTGCTGCATGTTGTCAGCATGTGAGCAGTTTGGTGGTAGATCAATAGACCTAGGACATGGGAGGGCTTTTTCTTAATGCTAGGGCAAATATTTATGTATATTAGCTGTACTATACAGTTATTCAGTTAGGTAAAGTGAGCCCGTGTGATGTCTTGCTGAACCACAGCCACTGTGGCCACAATGGTAGATACTGAAATAAAGTGCGACGATGGAGAAAAGTTCAGAGTAATGTCAGAAATATCTTTCCATAAAGTTTGCTGACATTAGCTATGATAAGTTACTGGTCACACCAGACCAAGTCAGGCATCTGTGTGAGCTGAACAATGCAGCGTTTTATTGCTTAAGAATTACATTTTTTATTTGTAAGAAAAATAAATGTTTTATTCCTTCTTTCAAAATGTCTCACATCAAGATATAGAAACATGCAGAGCTATAATTTAAAAAGAAAGGCTACAGTAAAATATGGAAGCATTTAAAATAAATAAAATAAAACAATGTACACTACAGTAAGCCTCTGTAGATTATATATATATATATATATATACACATAACACACCGCAGGTAATTGCGCATGTGCAAAAAAAGATGTTTTTGTATGAACCCACTTTGATTTCACTGCAGTTCACCAGAGTTCAGCACTTACCAAAATCGATGGCCTCAAAAATGTTTGAAAACCGCTGACCTACATGAAAACACATAAATTAGTAATAAACTGCTTATCAAATTATTATCAAAACAGTTACCTAACAGGAATCATAATAATTAATTTACCAAATTACACTTTACTCAAGAATTCTATTTAAGTACAAATTGTAGGTACTTATACTTTACTTTTTTCATTTTCCCCTACTTTATTCTTCTGTTTCATTACATATCAGAGTGAAATATTGTACTTTTATACTGCACTACATTTACCTGGCAGCTATAGATACTTTGTAGATTAAGATTTTACAAACAAAACATACAATCAGTTTATAAAATACATATAATGCACTGTTATCGATGAAATGACAATGACAACAATATGTTAAGTATTTAAAGCCCGACCTTGACCAACTACAGCATTAAAATGCTGCTTACATTAGCATGATAATAATCCAATATTATGAAATGCATAATAAAAACATTATGTCTCTCTAAAATGATCCAGTATTCATAAAAAGAATTATCTGACCTTATCTTGTGAATTTTTTACATTTGAATACTTCAGGCAGTGGCTGTAGCTGCTGTTTTTCCCACCTGCAGCTACGTGTGTGTAACCATCATATTGTTGTTGCATTATCTTTTTGCGTCCACAGATGGCAGCATAGCTTAATTTGCCTTTCAGGTAAGGTTTCAGGTTGAGTTTCCTGTTGTGCTTCCTCCCAGCTGGGTGTACCAGCAGCACCTGTGAGTTTAAAGATGAAACCAGATCTGCAGTGTGTGGTGTAACCCTAAACCGTGCTTATCAGTAAGCCTAGTTTAAGGTGCATCAATGCACCTTAGAGCTGGATAACTTGGTGTTGCAAAGCTGGATTCTCTTGAAGCAGGTACTGTGGTTTGGGATAACCTGAAAAAAGTGCTTGTACACGGGGATTTTACTGTAGAAACACTGAAGCCACCAGTCCAGATTCACCCAGCAGAAGAAAATGTGGACTACAGAGTATTTAAAAAACTCCTAAAATGTGACATTTTATTTATTAATCTAACTTTTCATCAATATTTTCTGTAAATGTTATCTCCATATGTTTTTGTCTAAAACCTGTTTCAAATTCTCATTTATCTCAATGTTTTATTTTTTTATTTTTTGCCTAAAAACATTAAATAGATCAAGATTCAAAAATATTAGCATCAGTCTGCATACAAACTCCTCTTTATGTCACTGAACCCACTAAATTCCCAGAAACATTACCAGGAATATGACCTCACTGTCCTGAGTGGTTGCTGCATTGAAGAACACGCTGTTCTAAATGGGATTTCTTAGTAATTGTGCAACATGAAAACCACAAGCTGAAAACTGAATCCAGTGACTCTGGGGGGCACACAATGAATCAAGACATACAGTATCTAACTTTTGGTCTCCTATAAAGAGGAGACAGGACCATCTGGAACAAGGATTGCACAAAAACACAAATACAGAACCACTGGGAGACTTTGGCCTTTTTAGGGAGAATAAAGCTCTTTTAATTTAAATATTAATCTAAACAATTCGGACCTGCTGCTTTTTTTTTTATTTAAAATGCATTGATACTGCAACTTATTCAGATTGATACTCTCTCTATCTGGCACAGCAAAATGCAAATACAATTAAAAATACTGTATGTGTGTGAATATAGTTCTATAATTATATTAAAATAATTATTTTGTTTAGAAGAAGAAATTCAATAAAGCAGTATTAATAATTCTCTTTTCTCTTTCCTTTCTCCTTTCAGCTTCCTCCAGCCCATCCTCACCAGAAAAAAACACCGTATCGGACAATTATGCAGCAAAGAGCGACAAACTCCATGTAAGGAGGATGTGTGGTGGATGGATGAATGAATTAAACTCAGGACTTTCACTCAGAAGACTGAGGTTTGAGTCCTGTGTGAAAGAAAATCAAAGTTTATTTGTTTTAAGTTAAATAACTTTTTGTGGATGACTTTTAATGTGCTTATTTTAACCCAAACCACCATTTTTTCTTTAACCTAACCAATTGGTTCTGTTGCCTAAACCCAATAAAACTACCACCGTTTTACAGTGTTTTAAAAAAAAAAAGTACAATATTTCCCTTTGACATGTAGTGGAGTAGAAGTAGAAAGTAGGTAAACGGTAATACTAAAGTAAAAGCACCTTAAAAATGTACTTAAGTATAGTAGTAAAAACAGAATCATGTATAAACAGCTTCACTTGATAGATGACATGATGAAAGCATCAGAGGACCTGTAACGTTTTAATAGTGATTTTTATTTTAGTGATATGATTTCACAATTACACAATAACACAAATCAAATAAAACAACTTGATAGATTCAAATTTAAATATATCCAAAACTATACAACAGTTACAAGCAGAGCTACACAAGCAAATCACAATATTGCACACCCCCCCTGTTTGAATAAAAGTTAGCACTCGAGCTTCACAGCAGTAATCGTGCCGTGTTCCTTTATAAACCATCTGTTTCTATTAGCATTGATCCTATTAGGATAACAAGACGACATTTTTATGAAAAAATATAATCAATACAATCTCATTTTGTGTCACAAACATCACAGTAAAGATCAGAGTAGATGCACAGGCCCGTCAGGTGGTGATTGAAGGACGCTATCAGTAATACTGATGATAAGCCGGGTAGGATCCCATGAGTTGAGTCGTGGCAGAGGGCAGCATGACTCCTGGGAGGCTGTTGTACTGGTAGAAAGAGTCCAGGGGCAGTGTGGGGTGGCTGGGCAGGGGAGAGCTGTACTGCAGGCTGTGTGGGTGGACGTAGGAGGAAGCAGCCGGGCCCTCCGGTGCCGCTACTGCTGAGTGATACCTCGGGTAGGGCCCCGGTCTGTAGGCCTGCAGCTCGGGATAATGCATCAACTGAGAGGCAACGTTTGCCTGGCAGGCGTGAGCCAGGGCGTCCTGCACCGACCTCTTCAGCTTCATCCGCCTGTTCTGGAACCAGTTTCTGATCTGAGAGAAAAAGGGAATAAAAGTCTCATGAGACTAAGTTTGTGCTGCAGAATTAACAGGTCAAATTAAATTACTGGGAAACAATAAAATATAGTTTTAAGACAAGAACTAAACAAACAAATATAAAGATTTAAAAAATTAAATAAAAACTGAGTACAAGTTCCCCCCAAAATAATAAATAACTCAAAACACAATGAAAAATAAATTAAATAAATCATTTATACGTATATAAAAAAACAGTGATTAAATAAAAATCAAATAAATGAATGCATTCATATATATGAATCAACAAATAATAAAATAAAATAATACTGATTAATTACAATTAAAATCAAAATTAAAATGAAATAATTAAAATTAACATAAACCAATAAATAAATGTATATATATATTTATATATAGATATATATTAACCTATTTTAACATTATATTTAAGTCTCAATAATAAAAAAGAAAACTACAAGAAAATTACAAGATATGCCATATTTTATGTATCAGGTTATATGTATTTTATTGTTTATGTATTTCCTGTAAATTGTGTTTACCTGCTGGGAACTTTAATTTAAATGGATTCTAAAAATACTACAATAAGCCATTGTGTTTCTGTTTTTATTTGCAGAAAGTTCAAATTCCCAAAATAAAACCAAACCCAGAGGACGTGAGCTCAGCATCACTCAGATGTCTCAGATACTGACGACAGATTAAGGATTGTTACCTGTTTGTCAGACAGGTTGAGCTTCTTGCAGAGCTCGGCCTTGTCTTGCGTTCCCAGATAAGCGTTCCTCTTGAAGGCCCTCTCCATGCTGCTGATCTGCTCCGCTGTGAAGGCCGTCCGGGGTCTCCTCCCTGACGGAGGGGACGCCGGTGAGGTGGAGGTGCACTCAGTGGGGGCCGAGGGGGAGAGGCAGTGGCCCCCTTCGCTCTCGTACCCGGAGGTCTCCTCCTCCGTCCCGCTGCTGAAACCTACATCAGCCACTGGAGAGAGGAACAAAGAAAGAGATGGTTTTTAAATTGATCTTTCACAAGATGTTTAACATGAAGATGGTAAACTAAAAACCACTGATATATGTATTTAGATCCTTTACTTAAGTAAAAGTACTAATACCACACTGGTATAAATACTCCATCACAAGTAAAAGTCCTGCAATGAAAATGTTTAATCAAGTATTAAAAGTACTGTGACTGTTAAATATTCTATCTTTAGATGATTATTCCTCATGCATTAATGTAAAAGCCAGATTTTACTGCAGCTAAGGATTATTTTCGTTATGGATTAATCTGCTGATTATTTTTGATTGATTCTGAAAAGAGCAGGAAATGCCACGTAGACCAAACCTCAAAGTCACTAAAAGCTAAATTAAGGTTATTCAAATAAGTAAAACATTTGCTTGACAAAATGCCAATAGCCTCAGCTCTTCTCTTGTATTTATTGTTGGGTAGTTCAATTATAACAAAGCACTAGTACTTGAGTAAATGCACTTTACTTTCCATCAGTGGACCTGACCTACCTTGATTACTGTGAGAGGTTTGGTGCTGGAGAGTGCTCAGACTGAAAGCATCTAGGCCCGGGCTCCTGTTTTCTTGCTGCTCGGGTAAATGTTCAGACTTCTGCCTGCAGTAAAAACCCGGCAGACTCTCTGAATGTGTCCCGCAGGCAGAGACGCTCTCTGTCCCTGCTGGCTGCTGGCTGCTCTGGGCCATCCATTCAATAGAAAAATGTCCTCTCATGGCTGCTGAGTGGCGAAGTTTTGTCCTGAAAAGAGCGGCACAAAGAGTGTATCCTTTTGTTTAAAATGGTTAAAACCAGAATGAAAAGTTAGATCCAGAGCGCAAGAAAGGTTTCTCAGGAGGTTGCTGGTCTGTCCTGCTGCTGGGAGACTTTTAACTGCCTCCCTCATCACAGCTAGTCTGTATTTATAAGGGGCATCCCTCCTCATTTCAAACTCCCCCAGCCCCAAGATCAAAGCACACATCCTCCCTTCCCTCCCACCTTCCCCTCCTTTAGTTTTCACAACTGGAGTAATTAAGACGTCTCATTCAGTCTCGATGAGGCTGTTACAACGTGGCTCCAGTGAGTCTGGGAAGGACCCCCCCCCCTTCCTGCCTCCAAAAACAGATAATAGACACACCTCAACCCCAAACTGTCTGCAAGTCCTCTGCTGCAAACATACTGAGAGACCCCTAAACTGTGTCCTCTTACTGTCTGGCCGCAGGGATCACACGACACGACCACCAACTCCTCTGCATTGTTTTTATTTACAGCTGATTCTCCTAAAGACGCTCAAGTTGATCACCATTCAAAGATAAAGCAGCAACAAACAGAACCCTTTGTTGTAAAGATAGAAATAAAACACACAGTGACACATAGTACAAAAACATTTTTTTTCCAGCCTTAAACAGTTCTATAATAATATTTTGAGTGATTATAACTAAAGATTTATACCTTCTTAGTAGGTTGCTTGAACAGTTTTCCTCATATTCTGGATTAGTGGGAGCTTTATATTTAGTTATATTCACAAAATGAGAAGTCACACTTACAGCTGAGTTTGTACTGTAAAGAATAAGACGATGCCTGAAGAGCAAAGAGTGTTTAAAAGGTGAAATTCAGAAAAGGCCCAGTGTGCATAACACATATTGAATATTGACTTGAGAATCTTTATATTTCTAATCATTTGACGTTGTTACTAAACTTACATGAGTCTACCTGAAACAATATTTAGATTATTGGATTTGTTGATTGACAGAAAACTAAGTATTTACATATTTTTTAAAAGCAGAAATGCTAAAAAATATTCCAAAATGTGAGGAATTGCTGCTTTTCTTAATGTAAATTGAATGTTGTTTTAGTTTTGAACTGTTGGTCGGATAAAACAACAAATTTGACAGTCGAATTTGCCTTTATTTTAGTCTCAATTTCAGAATTAAGGATGTAGGATGGGTTCAAATGCTAAAATACGAGCAAATGCTAAAAGTGTTTAATAGTTTACAAAGTAAAGAAATGCTCAACAACATGTAAAACAATCAAAAGCACAATAAAAACATATTAGAATAAACTGACAAATAAAATAATAGAAAAATAGAAATGCATTTATTGTGCAGTTTCAGTGGTGCGATAATGAAGTAATCAAAGGAAGCAGCAAAGAAAGTCTTTTAGATTCGAAAGTTTAGAGCATTTAGAGTTGAAACTGTAAATCAGTTGACAGGAAATTAATCAGCAACAATTTTCATGAAGCAACAATGGCTGAATTGATTTTGTGGTTCCAGCTTCTAAAATGCAAAAACCTGCAGCTTTTCCTTGTTTTCCATGATTTTAAATGAATATATTTGTGCTTTGGACTGTCGGTCAGACAGAACAACAATATCTGGGAAATCTTAACAGCCGTTTTTCATCATTTTCCAGATATTTTAAAGACCAATCGATTAATTAAAGGATATCAATTAGACTTTGGGAAATCATAATGAGAATCGTTCACAATTTTCTGCAGAGCAATAAGTAAATAATGATGAGTATCTTTCTTTTCCAAACGGTCATTAATTAAACTTTAAACTGCTCATCATAGTCAGTAATTTAGGCAACAGTTACTTTATAAATGACGTTTTAGCTTTCATTAGTCGCCTTTAGGTTATAACCAACATTAGCAGTGAGTGGCTCATAATCATGGTAATAGCTAATCCCCGGATGATACCTAGATTAAAGGCAAACTGTCTGAAAGGTATTGATAAGACGTGATGGTAACAAGGGATTTAACAATGATGGGCTTTTCAGTTTTGTTGTCTTTCTTTCAGCTGATCAGGATTTAAGTTAAATTACCCTACAATGATTTTTAGATCAATAATCACAAGAGATGTACGACTGTTGAAGGTAGAGACTTATCATAAAGTACTAAGGACACTAAAAACCCAGTAATGAACTCACATTTGAAGTATTTAACTATCACTAGACTCTGCTCATCAAAACAAACAGAGGTTGAAGATTTGTTATATTACCAGTAAAATAACTGCATTTAAAATCCAGCTTCAGAGTTGGATTGTGCAGAGGGATTATCAGCCAAATGTACTGCAGCCTGTATATTTTACATGTGTATCTGCAACGTAACTACAGATAAATGTAGTGCAGCAAAAAGTATAATATCTCTCTCTGAAATAAGAAGTAAAAACTAGCGTTCAATTAAAGCACAAGTACTTGAGTAAATGTACTTCTAAAGGCCTACTGGGACCAAAGGCTCACTGGAATGAAATACCAATTTATAATGATAAATCCCACAAAATATCAAAAGATTGGTGGATGAAGTATTCAGATCCTTTACTTAACTAGAAGTAACAAAACACCAATGCAAAAGAAAAACTAGTCCTGCATTGAAAACATTGCAAATAAGCAAAAGTATGCAAATAAAAGTACTAAAAGCTGGAAAATGGCTCCTGATTACATGTGTATTATGTAGCCTATGATAATGAACTAAATCAAAATCATTTGCTATACTTGGGTATATTTATAGGCCTATATATTTATTGTTTTTGTTGAAGCCTGAATCCATAACAACTTGGTATAAAATCACTTTACAGATGTGAACAGACAGTGTTACATTTTTATTCCTTATATTTTGGGTACCTGGCAGCTTTATATTTAGGCCTATAATTCACAAACTGTGAATGAGACTTACAGCTGAGTTTGTGGTGAAAATAATAACACACTGTAGGAGGAGTAAAGAGGGTTTAAAAGGTAAAACAAAGACAAAAGTAAATGGACTTGAACATCTAGTAAAATACTGTACTTCAGGTAGGCTGCTTACTTTCTGGCAGTAACTCTCGCACATATCCTAATAGAAACTGATCATTTACTATGGCGCCTTTCATCATCCTAAACTATTGTTCTAAAATGGGGATTTGGGGATCAAGTTAAAGTGACTGATAACGACCTGAAAACATGATCCCACAAGTGGCTCATCAGCCCCTCCTCCTCCTGCTCCTCCTCCTCCGCAGAGCTGCACGGACCTGAGACGCTGTTCTGTGTGCAAATGGTGCATGGACCAAACGCATTGTAGGGTTTTAAAGGATTAATCGAGTCAATCAGAAACGGTGCCTTTCATAAGATAATGAGTGCTTGGGTCGGTGAATGGTGCGGGGCTGTGCGCGCTATCTCCGCGCCGGCAGACGCGCTGTCTGCACGGCAGCGCAGAGGAGAGCTGCGGCGCTAACAGCTCATTAGGGACACGGAGCCACTTCAAAGAGGCTCTGTGCTTTGATACCAACACACCCAACATGACACAGGAGGCCATAAAACCTGTTCAGATCTCCTTTAGGTTGTGTAAACACTGTCAGTAGTCTAGATGCACACATCCATTTCAGGCTATTCCCACATTACTGATTCTGATTTGTTGGAACATAGCTAGCCTACTCTGTATTCTGTATTACTATTTGCTTCAAAATATTTATACCATGTCATTTTAATGTTTATTTATTTTATTTTTATTGTAAGTCACCAAAACATATTCCTTGTAAGAGTCCGTTTCTGTTGGAAAATTACTTAAAGTAGGCCTGCTAAAAATTCTGGGTAGGTTTAATCAAGTACAATGTTTAGGTACTCAGAGGCAAAACGTGAAATTTTTATTTAACAGGGGCTACTTAAAGGTAGCCCTGTTAAAATATATTTATTTGCAATGGTGGAAAGTACCAATACAATACTCCACTACATTTATCTGACAGTGTACTTTTTCTGGTGGTGGAAGAAGTATGCATACCAAAACTCCTGTTTTACTGTTTTACAAGTAAAACTCCTTACCTAAAAAGTACAGGAGTACTATAAGCAAAATGTACTTAAAAGTATTAAACATATGACTTAACATTATTATAACAAAATATTACTGCCGCATCAAATAGAGCAACATTTTAATGTTGTGGGGGCTCGAGGTGGAACAAGTTTGGCAACTTAGATATTAAAATGAAAAAAAGAGGCAAAAATCAGTGGACGATATTAAGCAATGATTAGAATAAGTACTCACATCTTTTAAGTAAGTAAAAGTACAAATAAAACGTTGTAAAAACACAAACAAAAAAACTCCATAAGTCCTGCGTTCAAAACCCTACTTAAGTTTTATATCATCAGCAAAATGTTGCCTATTTTTGGAAGCAGATATGTGGTCGGTTAATAAAATTTTAGAGCTACGGACAGATTGTTGACGTTTGTTGTCTCTGGATGTTGCAGTGCAGTGTGTCGTCTGTCTGTCTGCCACATCAAAGAGCTCGATCCTCACGGTCGCAGACCAAGATGGGACATGACAAGGTGGAGCAGGCCGACGCTGATACCCAACCACCCCATTATACAACACACAGACACAGACAGACGGAAGGGCAGCGACAGAGGAGACGCAGAGACAACAAATGATCAGGACTGCTTTGAAATTTTAACTGTTCCAATCGTCTGCCTGTTGTTTTTCTTCTGTAAGTTGTGTTTGAGGCACTTAATGTAATCTTGCTACTTCAACTCCACTAAATTTATCTGACAGAGGTGGTTATTAGTGACATTTCAGAGTATGATTTTATAATAAATTAAAGATGGTTTCCAAACTTTTCTTAACCAAATTTGCAGAAAATCGGCAAAAGGAAACACTACTTATTGAGTATTTCCATCCACCACCGTTATGTGAGGTATAATAGGCTGGTGCATCGATAAACTTAGCTAATTCTCCAGTCAGTGCCATTAAACCCTTGAAATGTAAGAAAACATCTGTTACAGATCTGTCACTCTATGAGTTGTTAGCAGTTCCTCAAAAAGAGACATTTCCGCTATGAACTTCATAGCGTTTCATTTTGATA